AACCAGAAGTTTTTTTTTGAGACTGTAGCTCTACTTGTTTGTACTTATAACATGGAGCCAAATAGTAACTCTGAAATTAAAACCTAAAACCAGCAATAAATAAAATGACCTTTGATTTAGTCTCTTTTTGTGTTAAGATTGCACTCAGGCTAAAACTGTATGATGAGTAGTTTCTTAAAAGAAAATTACATATACCCGATTTTTTATTATTTTAGTTACCATGGCAACAACACTCATCAAAATAAAAAAAAGATGAAGATAAAAATGTATGTTACATAATATCAAAATCAACAAAGTATTTCACAAAAATTTTTATATTAGCATCAATGGCAACACCGTTTATCAAAATCAAAACCAAAATACAAAATTATGCTTTTCAGTTTAGTTAATCTGACCAAAACTGAAAGAGAAGTTGGCTTTTGAACGCTTTTACGAAGAGTTTCTTTGTTTAGAAACCATGGCAACCATGTTCAAAATAAAAAAAAATGATAAAGGAAATTATTTATGTTTTTGTATTCGACTTGTGTTCCAAAACTATTATTAAATGAGAAGAAAATGTAAGTTGAGTAGCGTTTTAAAGGAATTTTAAAGATTTTTTTTTGGTTTAGTAAAAATGGCAACATCGTTCGACAGAATTAAAACACGAAGCATATTTTATCAATCATAGTGCAGTTTACTTGTTATCATGTTATATTGAAATCAGACCAAAACTGACGAACGAGTAGCATAATAAAAGGAATTTTACAAAAAATATATTTTTTTGTAAACAAGGCAACACCGTTTATCAGATTCAAAAACTGATGCACTATATTATGTATCTTAGTGTTTTCTATTTTTAAGTGATATTGAAATCAGACTAAAACAGATATAAAGAGAAATTTAAAGGAATTTCACCGAAAAATCTATGAGTTCCAAGTCATATTGAAATTAGACCAAAACTGTAGGAGGAGTACAATTTTAAACAATTGTTTGAAGACAGACAGACTGACAGACACCTAAATATCATAATAGCTCTTCTGGTCTCTGATCAATACATGTACAATGTAGAGATAAAACGTACGGAAAATCACTTGTACGGACATTTTATGAATTCATACCCATCACGTTTAAAACAGATGGTTTATAAAAATCAAAACAGATAACCTCATTTTGTTGATTTTCAATTTACCGAAAGGTGTATTTAAAAACACTGGTTCATCCGTTGAATCTTGAGACGTTAATCTACATTGTAGGCATTATTTCACGTGGTATATAAATAAAAAAATAACGGGGATTCACCTTGAAATTTCGGTTCCTTTCTAACTGTCAGCAATTATAGACTTTAAACAGAATTTAAACCCATTGATTAACACATTTGCAGGAGATTATTATGTCACTCTAGGCCTTCGCTGTACATATGTTTATGAATTCACGTGACGCATGCATGTTCAAAGATTCACAGGGATTCGCCTTGGAGGATCAATTACTTTCAAATACTCAATAATTTTACAACTTTTTGTAACATAAGAGGACTGTTTTCGTTATTGTTTTGTTTATTATCGTGAGTTGTTCATGATGGGCGAAATTTGTGTTGTGGATTTCTTTTCCTTCTTTATCATTTTCTTGGAATTAAAACTTCCTGAGAAATATGGATTGAGTCTAAAGGGACTGCCTCTTACGGACTAAAAGGTTTTTCAAGCACTTTTCATGTTAACCGCAAAACAAGATGGTAAGACGTCATGTGGATTAGAGGACCTTCCAGATTACATACGTCATATTATTATAAAGACTGTTTCAGTGTTCGGATAATAATAAGCGCCTTCGTTTATACGATAGAATAGTAAGTATTGACATTAGCAGTTGAAGTGTCAGTTCCCTCTTATATAGAACGTGGAATCATCATAATCATAGCCTTTGGTATAGGATATTGTTTCGCAATTGTATTTTATTTGATTTTTGGAGTCAATGTGGTAGAACAAAATTCCAAAACCGATTGTCAAGACCAAAAAAGGCATGTGTAGCTTAAAGTAAAGTGTCACCCGCATTAACTGCTGAGAGCAGAAGAAACATACTTCAAAATGAAAAGCCAAGTTTCCATACAAAGGATAGAGGGAAAGACGTAGAAAATGAAAAGCCAAACTCACAAAAAGAGAATAGGGGGAAAGACTTAGAAAATGAAAAACCAAATTTACGTAAAGACAATACGGAAAAGAGGTAGATAGTGAAATACCAAGTTGACATGAAGAGAATACGGGGAAAGACGTAGTAAACGAAATGCCAAGTTCACAATAGGAAAATAAGGGGAAAGGCGTAGAAAATGAAATGCTAAGTTCACATAAAGAGAATACGGGAAAGACGTAGAAAATGAATAGCCAAATCCACCTGAAGAGAATACGAGGAAAGACGTAGAAAATGAAAACAAGAAACTTCTGTCTACTTTGTTACGTCGTTTTTGTTTTATCTATAATTGAAATATTGCTTTTCTTGCTGATTTTTGTAAAGCATTTATTCTTCTAAGTTTTCACTGCTTTTAACGTTGTTTAATTTTTGAAAATGAATTAAATGCAGATAAAAGAAACAGAGATAATAGTGGTGTAATTAATACGCTATTATGAGACGGAAAGAGAAAAAGAGAAAAATAAAGAGAAAGAAACAGGATGATTGGGTGAAGAGAAAGAAAAAAATATATATACATTGTTATAAAGATTGAAAAATCCTGAAATGGGAAACTTTCTTTCAGTAACCTTTCAATAATCTTTTTAAGTCAGTATATGTTATATTTCATTATCTTTGTTTTATTTTTTCCCTCTTATGTAGCAGCTTCAATTTTTTTTTGCATGAATGAAGTGTTTTAGGGAAAATGTTTATATAAAAAAATATTCTGAAATGTTTTCTTCGTTTGGTTTTTTTTTTACTTTTGGCCTTTTAGAGCGTAAAGATATTTTTTCAACATATCTGACAGACGTGAAGCCTGAAATGACGCATCAATGCTGCTCCAGGTCCAAAGACATATGCATGTTAAAAAATGTTAAGAGCTAAAAAGAGCTTAAGTGTTAAAAAATTCACTTGAACTTATATAATTATCTTATTAATTCCTAGAAATTTAACGTACTAGTAACTTTTTTGTTGTGTATGAAATGTTGAAAAATGTGTGTAAAATGCATTAACAAAATACAGTGTAGAGGTATTGTAAGCAATGAGCTTACTTAAGGACAAATGTTACAAACTTTTGTCAAAAGATTTTAAAAAATAATTTTAAATAACAACTTGGGTCGTGTTTAAATGAATAAAATGAATGACTCTAACCGCGTAGTTTTTAATTTTATATTCAAAATTGGACAAAAATGAAATTTAAAGTGAAAAATATTGGTATAGAATAATAAGGATGGTTTCCGAAGGGCAGACTTTTCAACATCAAGGAAGGTTTACGGTTTCTTTATATTCTAGAAATTTATTATTTGCATCATTTGTAATTAAACTAGAGGTACTGTGAGCAATGAGCTCACTAAATGATACCCCCCGCCTCCTATTTGAATAAAATGGCAGTGTCCATGTTTTGCTCGGAAAATCCAAAATATATGTCAGATCAAAAAGTAAAATAGGAGGTGCACAATGGCAATATGTAATAAAGATTCTATGAAAGTTTCATCAAATTTCATTCAGTGGTATGGGAGGAGTTGCGGGATAAGAGATGGGTACCCCAAAGCGTAACAGACGGACGGACGGACAGACGGACAGACAGACAGACGGACGGACGGACAAAACGCAGCCCACGGAATTAACGATTACTATATACCCTCCCGCTTTTCAAGGGGGGGGTATAATTACCCCCAAAAAATATATACCTATCCAGGTATCCATTTTCTGTTTGATTATCTGTCCTTAATGAAACTACTCGCCTTCCATATTAATATAACAAGAAAACATTGATGTAACCATCAATTGTCGCCTGGGAAATAAATGAGTCTTGATCATCAAACCGCTTCGATATGTGTGAAAAAGGCAGGGTCAAGATGATGGAGACGACAGACAAAAATTTTTGAAAACTTATAGTCGGATGAAAATCGTACAAAAACAATACCCTTTTCAACTTTATTAATTCCTATCAAAAATATATTTCACTTTAAGTGCAATAAGTAAAATTTGATGCTCTAAAAAAAGGGACCTGTTGTTTTTTCGATAGTAAATGATATGCAACTTTATATGTTAAATATGAAAAACATACATATTTTAATTATTTTTACAGATTCACTTTATGGAAGTAAATACATTGTGTATCTCTTAAAGGGAAAGAATATTCTGATTAACATTCTTTTAAATGTTTAGAAATCCTCTAATTCTGAATAACAAGTCTCCCACCTCAATCCCCATATACCAACACTTAAACTTACCGGTATATGCAAAGAGCAGCCCGTACCTCCTGGCTGCAGTAAGTGCATGCTTAGATAAAAATACCTAATTAAATGGTTTCTTTAAACTAAGCAAAGTACAAATTAAAGAAAAGGGAGGTCAAGGTAACAGGAAAGTGCATGGTCAAAAGTTTTTGATGCAGTTGAAAAGTTCCCACTAATACATATGAGCATATTATTTTTGATAAAATTATCTTTAATGGTTTAACTAAAACTGGGCTAAATATTTATCTAAGAAAAGAGAGGTTAAGGTCAAAGGAAAGGTCAACGTCAAAACCATTAAATGTACATCGTATATGACACTCTACTTGGAAATACAACTCTTAAATTTTGTTATTACTTTTTTATTTACATGTACTATGTTTCTTTAGAAAAATAACATCTATATGTAAAAATAAAGGGCATAGAGTTGCCCCCTTCACAAGAGCTTATCATATTTATTGCAGTTCATTCATAACTTTACAATATATAGCCAAACCCTGTCTTTTAGTGAGTCCTATATGAATTACAGAAATGCACAATGTTAACATTTACATTGTACTTATCATCTTATCATGTGTTTTTGTTGAATCTTGCGCATAAATAAAAAAATTCTATTTATATATCCTAGTTTCATTTTCCCTTTGCTGACAGTCCTTCCTGGAATCCCCTGTATGCTTTAGAGAACTCCCCTGGGGCCTCCCACTGAGGGTAGTGTGAGATGTCGGGGGGCAGCACCGTAATACTGTGTCGGGGGACAGTCTTCCTACAACGGAAATTACGAAAACATGTCAGTTTTAGTCATAATACTTGAACTTATTTTAAAAAATGAAAGAAATTTTCTGTTTCACACTGCGATGCAATACTTTAACTACATGTATATATACATAGTAAAATTGAAATATATGGAGATAACAAACAGTATTCAAGCTACAAAGTCCCTTAAACAATAAACAAGAGGCCCAGGGGCCACAGCGCTCACCTGAGCACATCGGCTAGGAAAAAGCACATATCAGACCTGAAAGTTTACTGAGGTGGGGGGGGGGCGCTTGAATTTTAACCACCCCCCAAAGGTTCACGATTTGAACAAACTAGAATCTACACTATTTTAGGATGATTCCATATAAATATCACTAATCATGGCATTGAAGTACTTGAAAAAAAGATTTTAAAAGGTATCCCTATATATCCCTATATAAAACTTGGGTCGGCAATTTTGGCCCCACCCTAATCCCTGGGGTCATGATTTGAACAAACTTGAATCTACACTACCTGAAGATGATTCCACATGAGTTTCATCTTTCCTGGCCCAGTGGTTCTTGAGAAGAAGATTTTTTAAGATTTTTCCTAAACCTTCCTATATGTAAAAATTGGGTCGGCCATTTTGGTCCCACCTTAGCCCCAGGGGTCATGATTTGAATAAACTTGAATCTACACTACCTGATGATGATTTCACATGAGTTTCATCTTTCCTGGCCCAGTGGTTCTTGAGAAGAAGATTTTTTTAAAATGCCATTAATTTTTATCTAATTCATCATTATCTCCCTTGGAAAAGGGCGTGGCCCTTCATTTGAAAAAATTGAATCCCCTTTACCCAAGGATACTTTGTAGCAAGTTTGGTTGAAATTGGCCGAGTGGTTCTTGAGAAGAAGATGAAAATGTGAAAAGTTTACGACGCCAACGATGACGACGACAACGCCAACGACTACAACAACGACAACGACAGACAACGGACAAATTTTGATCAGAAAAGCTTGCTTGAGCCTTCGGCTCAGGTGAGCAAAAAAAATGGAGAAAAATTTATCTGAGAAGAAGAAGCAAATGACTTACTTGTAGTGATCAATAAAAACAGAGGGATTAACTGGATCTGAAGGGCCATAAATCATGTGGACTGAAAGAGGAAATGTACGGGTACAAAACATTGTAGAACTGCTGGCATCCATAAAGATAGAGTTATCAGAAAAGTTACTACAGTGTACTACATGTCTACTTAGTACTACACAGTTACATGTACATGTATATCAAAAGCTGTCCGTGTTTTGTAGTGCTTATTTGAAAAATTAAGGCAAACTCACTTTACATATATATTTAACAATTATTTAACATTTTAAAGAATTTGGTCCTCATTTTCTTCTTTAAAGGGAAATAACTCTTAAAGATTTACAAATTTCATAGATGTACTAAGTCAGTGTTTATATTTTTTCTTATAATAATTGAACAATTCATTAATTTTAAAACTTTCTTTTACCAGGAATAGTTGCTTCCTGTAGACCCCCTACCCATCGGTTTTTGTGTTGGCTTCTCTCGGCAATGTATCCTAGAAGTCTGTATTATTAAAATTCATAGGTTAAAGCAGTCTTTTCAAATTCGCTTAGATGAATAGGAATTAAAATTCAGTAATAAAAAAAACTGTCATCATGAAAAAAAAGAAGAAGGAAAAGACTTACTTGTAGCTTATTGTGTAACCATGGTTATTAGCAATAGCTGCATAAAAATCTCTGAATTCAGATTCTGTGGGTTGTGTGTTAATTCCAAATACATCTCCAAACCTGAAAATAAAATCATCTAAATAAAGGGGAATCCTAACAGAATACAATGTTATATCAACATTTAAAAAAAAAAAATCCTGTTCATAATAACCAAATATTTAATTTCCAATTCACTTCGGCAAACCCGTCATACATAAGATATCAATGTATAATTAAAAGTACTTTTTTTTTATTTGACCAAAATGACAACAAGCACACTGCAGAAGTGACCTATGAGCAGGGGTGCGTACTTCTCCATGGCACCTGATCCCACCTCTGCTGTTTCATGTTAGTTCTTATACCAGTTTGTATTGTTTCAGTCAATTTTTGAGCCTGATTACTGTCCACATTTTACTGAAGTTCTATTATATTCAGAATTTACTGAATACTTGAAAATTAAAATTACGAACTAGAGAATTTCAAAAGCAATTTCAATTCAATACATTTTGCAGATATAAAATAAACAGAGAACTTAAACTCCAGTGTATAAATTCAAATCTATATATAATTATTAAAACTGCTTCATGATCCTGGGGTCCAGTGTTTAACGTAGAACCTACATCGTATGACATCATCACTAGTGAATGTGTTAGGCTATGCTAAATCCATTATGACGTCATAATTAATTCAATATAACTTTTTCCGGTACTTTACAGCTTCAATAGAAATGGTAGAAAATACTGCATTTTGATCACAGAATTCAATTTTAAAACCATGCCAAACTAATCTTAATACAATTTATATATTTTTTGGTTTTATTTGCTTAATGACTGTCACAATATATTTCTGGAATAAGAGAAACTTGAAGGCACCTTTCATTTACTAGACTTTAATTATTAAGTTGACAAATCCAAGACAGTAGACTATCTTGTGTAATGAAATTTCAATGTGTAAACAAATCACTGTAATAATGTGAATGGTATACGGATATACCATTTTGTAGGAATGCAAAAATCATAAAAAATCTTCAGTTACCAACTAAATAGTGTAATATCTTGATGAAATATGTCTAAGTCAAAGATGTACGTGTTGTAGATCTTATAATCTTGTGTACATTTTTGTGATATCTAGGGGCCTATAATGAAATGATGTGCATTCCTTTTCATAGTTATTTGTTACTAATTCATATTCTTGGTGTTTGATTACAATTTTTCTATTAAATATGATTTTTTAAAATTAAAAGTACAATTTTTAATAAACATGTTTAATCTGAAAGTAACCCCAGACAGTCTTAATAATTAAATCCTGTGTAAGTGCAAAAAGGTCATGAATATTAGTATCGGTAAATAGCTTATCTCTCATTAGTTAGAAGGGAAAGGTATATACTTTAATGACTTTTTGTAATCGTTTGGGTATGTTCTTCATCATATTAAAGATTGAAAACATTGTGACAAAAACTTAAAAAAAAATATACAACAATGTAGGCTGGAAAATTGTCTAAAAAAAATAGAGTCCATTTGCTTATTTTTTTTAAATGTGGAGTTATCTTTTATGTCATATGAATAAAAAAGAAATTATTCTTGAGAAATATTGCTTAATATTGTTCAGTTAATAGAGTCTATAAACAACGATGTTTGAAGAGGTATTTTTGTGATTTTTCATATTCTCTTCTTGACAAGTACCCCTAAAAATAACTGAAAATGTGTAGTCGCATTATGTAATTACCATACCAAGTTTCACAGGCTCTACTAGATTTAAAAACAAGGAAACATTAAAAAACAGAAAGTTGAACTCTTTAAACTCGTTTACCTAGACAGGAATTTCCATTGTTTAGCCTAAGACATCAACCTTCCCGTCCAACTATATTGGCATTTATACCACACAAAAGACTCATCAACGGAACATATGCTAGCCAAGTAGTGCAAATTATTTAAATGCAGAATCTTAAAGACTGAATAACAAAAGGGAAATACTTTGGGACGTTTTAGTGAAGAAGTTCAATAAGAGATATTCTGAGTCGTCAATTTAACTTAGTTTTAAACCTTTGTTAGAGAAACACTAAAACCTGTGTACACATAATAAAATTTATATATTATATGAATTTTCATTTCTTTTATGTCGGTCAAAGGCTTTACAGAACTAGAATTTTCTGTCTAAAAATTGTCATTTAAATAAAATTTTCTAATTCTAAGCAAATTGGTTTAAAAAAAATCATTTTGGAGATTTTTTAAGACACTAAAGAGTGTGAAAATTAACCTGAAATGAGAATCATTTGTAAAAGTGAACTGCTAATATATTAATGAGTGAAGCTGGAGCTGAGGATATTCTGTCTCTCATTATATTAATTATAGAGATAAACTTACCCGAGGGTCTGGGATTGAGTTAAAGGGGTTGCTTTACAAAATGTTACTGATTCCATGTTGTTTTTATTTTTCTTTTGACGAAGATGGTCAGGTGCATTGTGGAATATAAATTATGAGTGATATTAAAAGGGCAGTTTATTTAGAAACATTGTTTTACGATTCAGATAATGATAGCTGCTGTTATCTACATAATTCAGCTAGGAGTTGGAATCCACCTTTTTCCGGATACAACAACTGCTTTTAATATGACTGTTTTCGACTTCCTGGGATTCACCATATCGTATTCATACTGTTTCGCTTGTTTTATCATGGGATCCATTAATTATGAATTTACAACTTACAATACGGACAAGGAAAATGGACATCATCACAGTGAATCTTGCTTCAACATAACTAATGGAATAGGACCTAAGACACATTATTTTATAGTGATTGGTTTCAAGGTACTGGATACGATAATAAATAGTCTCTTTGTAATTTTGTCGGTTAAAGAGGTATTTTATTCAAACGATTAACCAACATTTTTTACAGTGATATTTGGGATTTCCGCAATTGATTTTTTTCTTGATTTTTTGAATGTGTAAAGGTAATAATCCTGGTGATTGAAGAAAGGTAAAGGTCAATGACAAAGAGGTAAGCGAGAGGTGTAAAAACCCAATTTGTACCGACAAATTGGAACATGTACCTGTTAATCCTTTCTTGTTTAATTTCCATTCATTTGTTGTTAAAAAAAATACAAGAATTGTCCCTTAAATGACTTTAAAGAGTGGCGAATTAAAATGTACTGGCAGACGATCCATATATTCTTGTTATTCTTTATATTCCTGATTAATTCACTTGATTTTGGTGAGTTTAAGTTTTTATACCATTATATATAAAATAAGAAAGTTACGAAAAAGGTTTCTGATATTTGCATCTTTAGAAGACTATGGTGAGTCTGTACATAACAAGAATATATACGTGTACTCATTCAATTATTTTATTCCCCATTTTCCTAATTTACATGTTCCATTAAATAATTCAAAATTCACATCAAAATTATTGATCTCTTAAATTAGGCATCAGAATATTTAATGTATATCGTCCTGTATATAATTAAATAAATTAAATAGATGAATCCGCCTTACAGAAAACAACTTGACTACTGGATGGGGTAGCGGAAAGAACCTCCCTTTAAAAAATTTTGGACAGATAAAGCGAGAGATAGGGACCCAAGGTTTAAAATCCTTCGATTTACCCCGGAGATTTTTTGTCGCTCACGTCGGTTATTTTTTTTTTATTTTATATTTCCCTCAGTTTTAAAAAAGGTATTTTTTAAATATAATCATACATTTAACGTTAATTCTTGATAATTTACTTACCATTCATTGCTAACAAATGGCTTTTTTTTGTTACGGACTAAAAACGGAACTCTTTTAAACCAACAAACTATGAAACTACAAAACTATATAAGGACTTTTTCGGACCGTTAAAAGGAAAACAAGTTGCTTTCCTTTAAAAAAGGACTGCAATACGTGGACCAAATGCACGTTTTCCTAACCGAAATTCAATTAAGAAAATATCTAGGTGAAGTGAATATTCATTTAGGTTTGTTCACATTTTCTATAATGATCTGCCTACTTATGACTGATTTTAGTCTCAAAGCAAAATTGTTTAATTTTTTTCCCCCAAAGCGGCTTTTTTTCAGTTTAAAAAATCGGGCTATTGTGAGACATGTTACCCATAATGGCTGGGACTTGACACCTGTTCTGGTTTTTTTTTTTAAAGAAATCTATCATGGGAAAATGAAATGATGGTTTACGTGCAGCAAAAATTTTCCTTAAAGCAGATTTTTTTTGTCGGCCCCCCCCCCCCCCCCACACCCACACACACAAAGACACACATTAAAAGCCGTTAGGACAGATTGAAAAAAAATTCTGAAGTATAAAAGTTTTTTTTGGGTGCCTTGGTGCACAGAACTAATGCCGGTGAAAACGTGTTCCATCGTTTTAAAACTAGAACTAGTAGCTGAATGAGTTTTTTATTCAAGTTGTTAAGTTACATATATGTATATCATGCAAGTTTTTTTTATTCTATTTTTTCAAATGCTTGTACCATAAAATCAGTGTTTAGTTTGTATATAAAAGTATGTGTATAAGAAATATCGGATCCACCAGTGAATATGTAATGCAATATGCAATTTAAAAGCGCAATTTGACAATGAGTACTGTGGCATAATCTATTTCAAATAGGGCGAATCATTCTACGGGCAAGTTACCTAAGGTGCGAACTCTCTAGCATTCTCGCGCATGCGTAGACTGTCGTTTTGCCCATGGCATCCGGTTTAACCTCGCTTATATATTTAATGCGTGGACCTCAGGGTACACGCAATAATTTTAATAAATTATAAAAAATAAGAGTTAAATATATAATTAATTATAGTATGCAATTCTTAGAGACAGTGAAAGTTTAAACTACACGAAATAAATTACCTGAAGTAGCGACAACAAATCGTCGGCGTTAATCGAAGGTTTTTACAACGCTAGGATCTGTAGCACTCTGCTTTATCTGTCCGAATTTTCTCAAGCAGAGAGCTACAGTTCTGTAGCTTCAGGATCGGGAGGATGACACATAGGAAAATGATAAGAGTTTACAGCTAACGTTTTGATTTTTCCTGATTTTATTTAAAAGCAAATATGTAGAAATATTTTTTATAAAAATAACATTTCTAGTGAGGGTGTGTGTGTGGGGGGGGGGGATCAACATATTCTTATCGGAAGAAAGACTTCAATTTCATACATCTAAGTGTTATAAAGATCTGACACAATCTTTTTTTTTATTTTAGAAAATATCTGATAAATATTTATGACGAACTCTCAATGTGTAACTACAAAAACTGAAATATAACCATATTACGTGTGCAATAGGTGAGTTTATAGAGGAGATATCATAATTCACTTGTTTTTCAAAAAACTACCATGTAACAAAACATAAGGAATTAACAAATATGATTCTAAACTATATAACGCACGAATTTGAAAGGTGTTTGTTTACTAGATGCTTTAGTCTACAGAGTGCTTTGCTGGATAATTATGTCAATTACTGCAGACATCTGTTCGATAAATATATAATTTAAACTATATTTCAAAGTTTTATCCGCTTCACCTTAGTTGTTGATAAATTATGTTATCTAAAATATTATCTAAATGTGTTATCTTAATTATGTTATCTTAATATCAAAACGATATCGTTAACTATACTTTGATCGTAAACTATAAACTAGAGTCGTGAAATGTTCAGTAAGTTAAAGTCTAAAGTAATACCATTCGAGCAAAAACATAATATAAAATGTCTACTTTATCTGCTGTACAGCCATTATGTTTACTAATGTTAAAAGAGCTGATTGAAATTTTCCAGGCAGGTACATTGTATTATGTACTTTTTTAGGATTTTTAGTAAACTTAGTAAACCATATGATCACATCAGTTAATGTTTTTTTTTCTTGCACGAATTGAGTGCTAGCAAGAAAATGTTCAGAGAGAATAGAATAAATTTAGGGAAAAATGTATTGTTGTTCCCTTTCTACAATCAATGAAGATAATCAGAGATTCTTTGGTAAGCTAGTTTTAATGAAAGTAAAACTGATCCATTGTGAAATTGATTGAGCGGGGAGGATTTTAGTGTAATGATGCAGATTGTCTATATATGTTAAAATATATGAGTTATTTGAAATGATTAATGAGTGAGTACTTCTTCAGTCAGAATTGGTTCCCTTTGTTAGGAGTTTCCTACCTTTTATATCCCCTTGTCTGTAAGTTGAATTAAATGATCCAAAGACCTTTGATGGGTTTAATAAATTGCTGACAAATGTGTATGATGATCACTAGTAGGAAGAAATATTTAAGTCAGTGTTTTCCTATGTATTTTTACAATGCATATATATTATATTGAATTTTGGGTCTTCCCTGCACAATGTCCCCTTTACTGCTTATATATTGAACCAGGAACACCAAAACCAAACAATAGATATTTATATATTTATATTACTTGTATTTTTTGTTATTTTTTCTATACTGATAATACTTTTAAATCTCATAAGAATACGGATAAAGAGAACACGCATTTATTGATAAAATTATATCTTGTAATGAAATGAGAAGCTTTACTTATGCTAAATTGTAAAATTTTAGGATGAAATTAGAATTTTAAACATTGGAATTTAGATAAATTCATTTTAGATCTAATTTTGTCGAAATAAACAGTTTTATCACTACATATATGACCCTTGGACTTCTGTTTCACGGGAAGTTAAAGTTATCTAAATTTGTTTTTTTAATAGAAATGCCAATGTTTACTTGATGGGAATTCTTCTAAAAAAAGAAATCGGAATACATGACTGTATAACCCCGTCATAAATTATGAATGGTGGTAAAACACCACTGTGACTCCATCCTAGCCCGAGTTACAATGATTTATACAATTATGTCATATCGATATGAAAAAAAACATACACCATCTGTGCTGCTTTAAAAAGGTTTTACAACTTATATATGCGATAACAAAAACTTGGCTTTACCATAGAACCGCATTAAACAAACTCTACCATTCACATTTCACTGCACAGAGATGTATGAATAATAATTGTTCATTCGAGTAAATAATGAAAATTCATACATAAATGGGAGAGATTATAAAGCCAGATAGTAAATCAGGAAACTTCTGAATACATCCGTGTGTCTCTTAGGTCATGCAGGATTTCATGCAAATTTTAAATCATATTTTCTTAAAAGTTTCTTAAAAATTTTATTCTGACAACATCATTTAAGCAAGTTCTGTTTAAATAGGTCTTATAGTTCAATTGTAATTGATCTGTTCCAAAAACGTTAACCTCATCACTCGTTTGGAAAATTTGGAGTCACAGGAATAAGGAAGATTCCTTCTTCCCTGATCTTTTTCCAAGTTTTTCTCGAAATCTATAAGTTGTTTCTTCCGTAAGTCAGTGACCTCTAGTACTTAGAATTCTAAGAAATTTATTGAATTTTTTTTATTTCTTTTAAAAGGAACATTTAATAGATGG